TTAGATCCCTGCATGTGAATTACTCCCAAATGTTCTGAATCACAGTCAACCCATTACTTACAGGTTTAACGGTCTGGTAGGTCTCTCGAAATGTCTAGTAAAAGTGTGGCTCACAATGCAAGTTTGATTTCGCCATGCACAGAATAAAAAATAAAAAATCTCACAATTCATTCTTTATAAAGTCAGAATTGCGAGATTTAAAAAAAAAGTCAGACGTGTGAGTTTGCAATTCTGACTTTATTTTCTTTTGCCCTCAGAATTGTGACATATAATGTGCACTAATATGCATTAATTCATGCTTAACCAATGCAAAGATAATCATAAGTTAATGTATAACTAAAGAACTAACTAAACCATTAATTAATGATTACTGCATTAGCAACTAATAAAGAGTCTGTATTAATAGATTAAGTAATACATGAATTGCTATTAATTCAATGTGTCATTGTGTATTAATTAATGTGTTATTGTGCAAATTAATAAATTAATTACCACAATTAGTCAAAGCTATGCACTTCAACTTCCAGTTGTCTGCTTTAATTAATCATTAGCTAATGATTTGCAAAGGTATCATTATATTATGACTTTACTTGTGGGGGCACATCATTATTAACTAGTCATTTAGTAATTGTAGTAATTTGCACATGAATTTGCACTAACAATGAAGTAATTAATCATGTATTAATGCATATTAGTGTACCTGTCATATTATCTGGAAATACAACACTTTGGCTCATTCTGGAAATTAACATATTAATTAACACTATTAGTTAAAAAATGTGTTATTATGGAAGTAATCCACAATTACAAATTTAATTAAAAACAATTCATGTATGAACTAATACATTACCATTTATAAAGTTCAAATTGTGAGATAATTTTAATTTTTTTAAATATATTTTACTTTTTATTCTGTGGGCTCCATACTTCACAGAAAGTAAAAAGGGTAGAATGGAAGGAAAAATAACCGAAACACATTAGAAAATAGATGGTCTCTGTTGTGACGCTGAAGTCGACAAATTTGAATTTGAAAAGAATTTGATGTGAACTGAAAAGAAACGACAACCATGTTACTTAGGTAAATCATATTAAGGTATATCCCACAAGCATAGAATTAAATGTGGCCAAGACTTGTTTCAGAGTCTTGTTTGCTTCATAAAGTGCATCAGCGAACATTACAGCCGCAAAACTGCTTATTTGCTCTGCTAATCGCTCCGAGTAAACAGTTCTCCTGTGGTTGCATGGTTCATGTACATTTGCTTGCCTACTTCTGGAGAAACAAAGCTCCATTAAGCCTCAAAAACATGAAAAACGTTATAAGAGTTTTGTAATGTTTGTGGATCGCAGGAAAACCCACTTTTGATAGACTTTGCAAAGCTTTGGTAATAATAAAACCATGAAAAAAATACATTCTTCATACCATTGCTTCTAGAATGAGACTTTAATGACATAATTTTCTCTCTCAAGGCCTAAGGGAAATAGAGGTCAGTTTAAGGTCTCGGACGATCACTACATCCATCATATAGGCTGTTGGGCTCGCAGGGCAGAATGACACAAAACAGACGGACTTGACAGAGAAAAACTGTATACAGCAAAAGTCATGACACAGAAAGTTTTGGAACGGGTTGGAACTAGTTTCCTATTTCACGATCTGCCAATCCTAAATTAGCTTATCAAGAAAGTGGAGCCATTAAAACATAGGGCAGTTAATAATATTACAGCACAAACTGCTCATTTCCATTCAATGAAACCCTATAGTTACCAGAGACTGTCAAACTCAGACGTTTGTTTTCTGTGTCACATTCACGTTTTCCCAAGTTGTTTGTGGAACAGTCCAAAATTCGATTGTTATCTATGTAGTTTAATCTCATTTGTGTCTGTAAACGTAGCACTTTACGGATAGGTTACAAAGCAAACAAGATTTTCTATTTCCATTTATAGCAACTTAAAGTTCAGAATAACTGAAATATAGTCAAATAAACTACCTTATGGTTCCTTTATAGTGCAGACCCAGTCCCCATTCACTTCCACTCATCCCAATGCATCAAATACTGACACTTTTGACATTTCGTCTACATCCAACGCACATGGCACCCTTTAGCGTCAATATGAGACGCAGATATATATGGGCTAGAACGCGCCTCCTAGTGGTCTAACCCTAACCCTACTCCAGACCTAAACCTACCCATAACCAAAGTGTGTTATATTGACGCTAAAGGGTGCCATGTGCGTTGGATTTATGCGAAATTTCAAAAGCGTCACTATATGACACCCTAGGATGAGAACGCGATGGAAAAAAATGACGGTGAACATTCTTCAAAATAACTCTTTTTGGGTTTCACATAAGAACAAGGTAAAAAACAGGTTACACAACTTACACTTTCTAACTTATATTTCACTTGCTTTCTCCTTTTTAATGAGATAGATATGTCAACCTTCAAACACCCTGAGCTTTAATGAAATTTAAAATCTGTCTTTACATCTGTCTGCTTCAGAGCAATAATGAATACGAGGAAATTGCCAACGACATCCTTCAAAAGTGTCTCTTTTGGCCCAGAATCACCCTACATGCTCTCTGTTTTCACTTTCTCGGTTTCTCACATTCTTTAAATCAATTATAGTTCATGCAAGGCAGTTTCAATCACACAAACACAGCACCGGAACACATAGTTTATACTTTGAATGGCATGTTTGCTTTCCTGAAAATGCTTACACACATGCTCACACTCAAACACTTGCATCCCATTTACAGAGTATGAGGGGAAAAGCCCATTGTTGATAAATGATTGCTATTCTGTGAGCATTAACCCTTGTAGGCTCATGTACTCAAACACATGCATCACAACTGTCACTTCTTAAAAATACGAAACTATGGCATTAACCACAAATTTAAACCAACCTCAGAAAAAGGCAAATCTCTAGCCTGCAGCTTTATGCATATAAATTGGACATTAAACATTACGAAACTGTGAAAGAGGACAGAAATTAAAATTCTTGTTTATTTAACAAGGTACTTTCCATAACTTCACTAATGCATATTTCTCTCTCTTACTTGGTTTCATGACAATAAACAACAAATGGGCTTCACAGCTGCCGTTTTGAGGGAAGACACAAGCCAAGCTACGGTAACAAGGTTAAAGGAAATGTGGGCTGGGAGATGCAGACAGGGATGTGTGATCTTTAGATCTGAAGATTGCCCTCATAAGGAGACGCATTTCTTTTAATCTGTCGGTGCACACTATAGTGCTGCCTAGATTCTCCCTATCCAACACTTCATCTGCGCACGATTAATCTCTGAACAACTATAAACACCTGATCTGAATATCCTTGTTGAAATGGCTACTGCAATTTGTGTACTATGCCTTGCCTTAGATATAATGACCTGCGCAGTCCAATCTCACAAGTGACGTTACCACCAACATTACAAAGAAATAGCCTCAGCCTCTGAAAGCTGTCAAATCAACAAAAGGCAACAAGATGCAAGTGCTTTGATAAGTCCCAGTTAGTCTTTCTTTTAAATACAATAGTATTAGTATAAAAAAGTAAAGCTGTCCTCGAAGGAGTTTGACAAAACTAGCTGAATGGAGAAGTGTTGGGTTGGCTGAGAACTTTTCCAGTTTAAGTTGAAGGTGTGTGTGTGTGGAGGGCCTTAATCAAGCAGAAATGTCTGTCAGGCAGGCTGAGATTGCGTTCAGCTACTGTCGAATCATTGGATTGAATGAGAAGTAGAGTTGTGTGGCATCAGCATAGCGGGGATAGGAAAAGCCATGTTTCTGAATGACAATGTGAGGCAATATGTAAAGCGCTTTGGTGGCCATTGAGTCTGTGAAAGTCAATTTACCGCACTGTAAAACAAAATATTTTCCAGATTTGTTATCACAACATTTTTTCTTTTGTCAAATCAACTTAAATAATTTATTTAGTTGAGATAACTTATTATTTTGAGTTTCTGATGGTTAAATGAATCTCCTTCATTGTGTTAACTCACTTTTTCCAGTTCAAGCAACTTAAAATTTTAAGGCAACCTGGTTACTTACTTTAAGTTAAACCAACAATATTTTTTTTTACAGTTGTTCATTCCCCGATTGTTTCAATTTATGTGAAATAATCAGTACTTATTACTTTTGGGAGGACAGTAATTCTGATAATATGCATATAGTGGCCTCAAAAACGGATGTCTTTAACCATTCTTGAACCAGCCTTAAAAAAATATTGATGGTTTAACTTAAAAAAGTAAGTAACCTGGTTGCCTTAAAATTTTAAGTTCATTGAACTGGAAAAAGTGAGTTAATACAATGAAGGAGATTAATTTAACCATCAGAAACTCAAAATAATAAGTTATCTGAACTAAATAAATTATTTAAGTTGATTTGACAAAAGAAAAAATGTTGTGATTACTACACTGTAAAAAAAATATTGTTGGTTTAACTTAAAAAAGTAAGTAACCTGGGTTGCCTTAAAATTTTAAGTTGATTGAACTGGAAAAAGTGAGTTAATACAATGAAGTAGATTAATTTAACCAACAGAAACTCAAAATAATAAGTTATCTCAACTAAATAAATTATTATAAAGTTGATTTGACAAAAGAAATTATAGAAATATTTGACAAAAGAAATATTTTTTTACAGTGTATAGCCTGTATTCCTCTGAACAATCTTTGAACTTTCTATTACAGCACTTCTTATGTTTCTTGATGACCTGCTCTGTCGTATTCCTCATTTGCAGGTTGCTTTGGATAAAAGCATCACCTATATTGAAGAAATGTAAATGTGCCTCTTTTAAGGGCCCTAGGACACAGTGGGGATTGCAGTCAATGTATGCGTCATGGAGAATTATTGAATTCATCTGTCCACAATGAAGGCTCATCAGGGAAAGGAGACTAAAGCGCATCAGCATCCGAGACAGACAAACAGTTACTCCCACTCGATTCCAACCCCTGTCCTATCTGGAAACACCCTAAATCGTCCTCTGAACTGCCACCAAGTGCTCAAGGTACTTACCCCAGGCCATAAAACTGCAGAAACCTTTTAGTTAATCTGCCTCTTCACCAGTGTTCAAAGTAAACACCACTCTGCATAGCAATTTAGCATGGCTGTTTTCCCACCAAACCTCCACGGCAGTGATCTGCAGAATAAGAGGACAAGAAGTCTTTCAGAATGCTTTCGTATCCACTTAGCATTGATACAAATCATATCCAATGAAATGGCTTGACAAAAAATGTTTTGAAACAGTACGTTTTGGACAGCAAGTGTCAAATAGGCTTTTTAAAACATAATTTGCTACTTGCTAGTCAGTTGCACGTTTTATTCTCAATCCAGAGAGCATTTGATTGGTCAAAAATGTGTGCAGGATGAGTCATAAATATTTTTTGTTTCATTTTACCAAATGAGAGAACCAACACAACCAATTGTGTTGTAAATAAAACAAACAAAAAAAATATTACTGGAGTCCATTTCTTCGTCTTAAAGTCGAGGAGTCTTTCTTCTTCAAAATATCACATTTATTTCAATGTGTTCCTTTCCATTTTTCTAAATAACGTATTAGGACTTTCTAAATTAGTAAATCCTTCAGCAAGTTTTACAAATGCAGATTCAACATCAGAGCCTCGCTTAACTCTTATTTGTGCTTCAAGCAAACATCCTTCATAATCATACAGTAACTGCATAAATCTGTCATGGAGGTAAGAGAGCCAGACAGCAGGTGCAGAGAAATAGTGTACTTTAATTAAGAGAGAGAGAGAGCGAACCAGAAAGGTCATTAATCAACAAAAATATCCTCACTAAGAACTTAGAGCTTCTTGAAGAAGGGTTACGTTCAAATAAAGTCTCTACTTGAAGAAACAACAACCCAATTGAGACGGTATTGATAGAAGATAACAAGTAGAGGCATGGGTTGATGATTATTTAGGTAGAAAGAGAGGGGAGAAATAGAGACTCTAATAAAGAGATAAGGATTCAGGTGAAGAGGGGATGTGTGAAAATGAGGATAACGAGGGGGGGTGTGATAATGAGAAAATAGTGTAATGGGAATGAGAGAAAGAACCAGGATCATGACAAAATCGCTGTGTGAATCATGGGTAATAAGGCATGCTCCTCATTAACTGCACTGTTGGAGATGTTCTGACATCATCACTGTCATCATAATAAGACTTATTGCTGATATCGAATACTTCCCTGTAGTATGCGAAAAACAGTATGCCAAAAAGTCCCCGAATGACTTACAACTTCCAAAATAAGTGCGCATTCAATGGACACTACTATCCCATGAGGCCACAGGAGAGGATTTATAAAGGGCACGTGACAATAACAACATGGCGGATGTAGTATGTCTAAATTTCACACTACCCACATTCACACTATATAGATGGCCGCGAAGTAAATTCATGTTCAAATGTAGCACCTACTCGTGTGGTTTTGAACTCAGCTTTATTTTTTATACGTGTTTAAGCATAACAAGTGAGATTTAAGTATTGTGTACAAACCTTTGTCTGCTTCTCTGGTTCTAAGTGACCACATCTGACCCACATCTGAAAACTGCTGGTTGCTTCATCATTGAAAATATTGCATCTGAAATAACATGGATCAGTACAAGTTGCAAAATTTGATGGCATAATTTTTTTTAAATGTGCAATTAGGTATGCATTGTAAACATTTTACACCAAAATCAGAGTGTATTTTACAGTTTTAATACTTACCCCACCTTGCACTCTAATTTACCCGTTTAATCGGGCTCACACAATAATGCACATTCTCTATTGAACACACACACATTGATGCTCTGGCTATATATAAAGCTGAGTTGTGACCCCAAAGGTCAGATTCGAATTGAACATTTATCTGAAATGGAATTAAAAATCTATATTATGTTCAAACTTGTTGTTTGACTGTACTAATGTATATATATATCATTATTCTATATATATATATATGCCTGGATTCCTGTTGCTGTATTAACATATAATGCAGTGAGATCATGTGACAACAATGTAAGCGTAATTTATAGTATTTCACAATCACAGCTGTGTTCTGTGATACTGTGCAGTATCAGTCTCTATATCCTATGTATGTATGTTTGGTAGTTACACTACAATTTGGACACAAACGGATCAAAATTAAATCCAGGACTGAGCTGTGTAGTGTCTCACTTTTTTTCTGGCCAGTTGTTGATAGTGAGTAATGCCAAACTGGATCCAAATGTCTCTTTGCTTTCTCCTTTTTTTTTATTGCTTTCTCATACACATGCATGATTGGTATAAATCTGACTACACAAGTCCCTGTAAGATTGCCAGCTGACATCAGTTCAAGATCTGAGAGCATTTTTCCTTAACTATATTAAATTTGTATTTCGAACATGACTAGTTCAAATTAGAGAATTTGTTAAATGGTTTCCCTTTGTCATTACCAACAATCGTGGTTCCCACAGAAAAAAACACAAGTGAAAAACAATTTCGAAAATGGCAAACCACCTTGATTTATATAAAGCTACTTATAAATAGTACAGATGGTACAGCTAAATGAAAACTTAGAATAGACGTAACGCGCTCGGTTGGTTCCAATTAGGGCGCGCGGCGCGCATACTTACATCTGGTGCTCAGGTTGTTTTCCTGTTGTTTGGGGGCGTGCAGTTGAGGACAGAGAGGCGGCTCTTGAGCTTGCCAGCCTCTATATTGGACTGCAGTCAAGCCAGCCTCCAGTTCAAAATGAGCAGTCAAACTAGCCGCCCCTATATTTCTTTATGCGCTTATACACTAGCTATTACGGTAAGACCGGCAACCTTTCTGAAACTGAAAACATTGATCTTCCAGCAAAAGCAATTTCAGTTATTCCGTCCGTCCGTCGTCCGTCGTCCGTCCATCTATCCATCTATCCATCTATCCATCTATCTATCTATCTATCTATCTATCTATCTATCTATCTATCATTAGACATTCAGAATGTCATATAGACATTCTGATGTTGTTTTACAAAATAAGAGCCCCCTGTTTTGTCCATACATTCAGAAAATCATAAAAATAAAAGTCCTAGCTTCCACAGACCAATTCTACCTCAGATGGAGAGGACACCTTCTCAAGGTGTCCACTGCAAAGTTTCAAGACATTCTGATGTTGTTTTACAAAATAAAAGCCCCCCAAAACTCATATTATACCTGGTTTGTCCATACATTCAGAAAATCATAAAAATAAAAGTCCTAGCTTCCACAGACCAATTCCACCTCAGATGGAGAGGACACCTTCTCAAGGTGTCCACTGCAAAGTTTCAGGACATTCTGATGTTGTTTTACAAAATAAAAGCCCCCCAAAACTCATATAATATACCTGTTTTGTCCATACATTCAGAAAATCATAAAAATAAAAGTCCTAGCTTCCACCGACCAATTCCACCTCAGATGGAGAGAACATCTTCTCAAGGTGTCCCCTGCAAAGCTTTAGGACATTCTGATGTTGTTTTACAAAATAAAAGCCCCCCAAAACTCATATATTATGCCTGTTGTCTCCATACATTCAGAAAATCATAAAAATAAAAGTCCTAGCTTCCACAGACCAATTCCACCTCAGATGGAGAGAACACCTTCTCAAGGTGTCCCCTGCAAAGTTTCAGGACATTCTGACGTTGTTTTACAAAATAAAAGCCCCCCAAAACTCATATATTATGCCTGTTGTCTCCATACATTCAGAAAATCATACAAATAAAAGTCCTAGCTTCCACAGGCCAATTCCACCTCAGATGGAGAGGACACCTTCTCAAGGTGTCCCCTGCAAAGTTTCAGGACATTCTGATGTTGTTTTACAAAATAAAAGCCCCCCAAAACTCATATATTATGCCTGTTGTCTCCATACATTCAGAAAATCATACAAATAAAAGTCCTAGCTTCCACAGACCAATTCCAGCTCAGATGGAGAGGACACCTTCTCAAGGTGTCCACTGCAAAGTTTCAGGACATTCTGATGTTGTTTTACAAAATAAAAGCCCCCCAAAACTCATATATTATACCTGTTTTGTCCATACATTCAGAAAATCATAAAAATAAAAGTCCTAGCTTCCACCGACCAATTCCACCTCAGATGGAGAGAACACCTTCTCAAGGTGTCCCCTGCAAAGCTTTAGGACATTCTGATGTTGTTTTACAAAATAAAAGCCCCCCAAAACTCATATATTATGCCTGTTGTCTCCATACATTCAGAAAATCATAAAAATAAAAGTCCTAGCTTCCACAGACCAATTCCACCTCAGATGGAGAGAACACCTTCTCAGGGTGTCCCCTGCAAAGTTTCAGGACATTCTGACATTGTTTTACAAAATAAAAGCCCCCCAAAACTCATATATTATGCCTGTTGTCTCCATACATTCAGAAAATCATACAAATAAAAGTCCTAGCTTCCACAGGCCAATTCCACCTCAGATGGAGAGGACACCTTCTCAAGGTGTCCCCTGCAAAGTTTCAGGACATTCTGATGTTGTTTTACAAAATAAAAGCCCCCCAAAACTCATATATTATGCCTGTTGTCTCCATACATTCAGAAAATCATAAAAATAAAAGTCCTAGCTTCCACAGACCAATTCCACCTCAGATGGAGAGGACACCTTCTCAAGGTGTCCACTGCAAAGTTTCAAGACATTCTGATGTTGTTTTACAAAATAAAAGCCCCCCAAAACTCATATATTATACCTGTTTTGTCCATACATTCAGAAAATCATAAAAATAAGTCCTAGCTTCCACCGACCAATTCCACCTCAGATGGAGAGAACACCTTCTCAAGGTGTCCCCTGCAAAGCTTTAGGACATTCTGATGTTGTTTTACAAAATAAAAGCCCCCCAAAACTCATATTATGCCTGTTGTCTCCATACATTCAGAAAATCATAAAATAAAAGTCCTAGCTTCCACAGACCAATTCCACCTCAGATGGAGAGGACACCTTCTCAAGGTGTCCCCTGCAAAGTTTCAGGACATTCTGATGTTGTTTTACAAAATAAAAGCCCCCCAAAACTCATATATCACCTGTTGTCTCCATACATTTAGAAAATCAAAAAAATAAAAGTCCTAGCTTCTACAGACCAATTCCACCTCAGACAGAGAGGACACCTTCTCAAGGTGTCCCCTGCAAAGTTTCAGGACTTTTATTTTGTATGATTTTCTGAATGTATGGACAAAACAGTTACTATATGAGATTTGGGGGGCTTTTATTTTGTAAAAAAACATCAGAATGTCCTAAAACTTTGCAGGGGACACCTTGAGAAGGTGTACTCTCCATCTGAGAAGGAATTGGCCTGTGGAAGCTAGGACTTTTATTTTTATGATTTTCTGAATGTATGGACAAAACAGGTGATATATGAGATTTGGAGGGCTCTTATTTTGTAAAACAACATCAGAATGTCCTGAAACTTTGCAGGGGACACCTTGAGAAGGTGTACTCTCCATCTGAGAAGGAATTGGCCTGTGGAAGCTAGGACTTTTATTTTTATGATTTTCTGAATGTATGGACAAAACAGGTGATATATGAGATTTGGAGGGCTCTTATTTTGTAAAACAACATCAGAATGTCCTGAAACTTTGCAGGGGACACCTTGAGAAGGTGTACTCTCCATCTGAGAAGGAATTGGCCTGTGGAAGCTAGGACTTTTATTTTTATGATTTTCTGAATGTATGGACAAAACAGGTGATATATGAGATTTGGAGGGCTCTTATTTTGTAAACAAACATCAAAATGTCCTGAAACTTTGCAGGGGACACCTTGAGAAGGTGTCCTCTCCATATGAGGTGGAATTGGTCTGTGGAAGCTAAGATTTTTATGATTTTCTGAATGCATGGACAAAACCGGTAATATATGAAATTTGGGGGGCTCTTATTTTGTAAAACAAAATCAGAATGTGCTGAAACTTTGCAGGGGACACCTTGAGGAGGTGTCCTCTCCATCTGAGGTAGAATTGGTCTGTGGAAGCTAAGACTTTTATTTTTATGATTTTCTGAATGCATGGACAAAACAGGTAATATATGAAATTTGGGGGGCTTTTATTTTGTAAAACAACATCAGAATGTCCTGAAACGTTGCAGGGGACACCTTGAGCAGGTGTACTCTTCATCTGAGGTGGAATTGGTCTGTGGAAGCTAGGACTTTTATTTTTATGATTTTCTGAATGTGTGAACAAAATAGGTAATATATGAGTTTTGGGGGGCTTTTATTTTGGAAAGCAACATCAGAATGTCCTGAAACTTTGCAAGGGACACCTTGAGAAGGTGTACTCTCCATCTGAGAAGGAATTGGCCTGTGGAAGCTAGGAATTTTATTTTTATGATTTTCTGAATCTATGGACAAAACAGGTGATATATGAGATTTGGAGGGCTCTTATTTTGTAAACAAACATCAAAATGTCCTGAAACTTTGCAGGGGACACCTTGAGAAGGTGTCCTCTCCATATGAGGTGGAATTGGTCTGTGGAAGCTAAGACTTTTATTTTTATGATTTTCTGAATGCATGGACAAAACCGGTAATATATGAAATTTGGGGGGCTCTTATTTTGT